GTGGGATGACGGATGTTTGTGTAGGATTAGCATATGTAGGTGTCTCACGACTCCGTGTATGGAGTCAATGGCTTCAGACGATAGCAAACATAGGTCAGAATCGAGACTAGTAGCTATCATTCTACACTTTCCTTGTTTCTCCTATTATTCAAACATAAAAGGAGAGTAGTGAACGCTTCTTCAGACGTATCTTTTGGACCGCTTCTTTCATAACACTGTTCTTCTTACTTTCTGTTCCGTTCTACGTGTCTTCATAATATTGCTTTACCACTTTGTTTGACGCATTTCTTATCCCCCATATTGTAGCAAGTTTGTGCTCTAGAAATAATATAATGTGCCCCCATAAAACTGTTATGCACAAGCAAATTATGTAAATCTCAATTACCATAATGAATCCATATATGCTGTTTTTCTTACCGCTAGATATTTCCTTGAGATTCTAAAGTCATCAGTCCCTGTAAACACTGAACAATGTCTCATCTTGTTATCTGGTCCCAATTATCAAGTTAATAGTGTGTTCCCTGAAGTAAAACACTAGACACCATAATGTTCTACATCTGTTGTGATTTACTAGTCCAGCAAGTCACTCAGTGCCAACATGGGACCTGCCATTACTGCATAACTATCCAATATGCCACCTCTCATATCAGAACATCAATGCACAAAGCACCAAGGTGAAAAGTAGGAAACTGAACAGGAAAGTAATCAAAAGTCGTCGAAAGCCCTTAAAAGAGAGGAAGAAGAGATAGAACAATAACGAGAATCGGTATATAATAATGAGGGGGAAGATAATGCGCGAATATATCTATCCCAGTATCATCGATTCTGGACCATATCACTTACAGTCACTAACCGTCGCTTTATGTTATCACGCTGACCCCAACCTGGAAGCCTATATTTCCGTATGTAACTCATGTCAATAGTCAGAAATTTCATGGATTGGTGCCGTGTTTCAATCTGGTTACCTCAAACATGTTTCCGGTCTGAACCTACTTTAGCTGACGGAGAGGACAGTGAGTAGGTTTGCCCAGCATATGTCTCAGCCATCTGAGTCTATGAAGATCCGAAACCTTATCGACTAACTTTCGTTGCTGAACACTCTACTCTTGACTTCTACGTTTCTGTTGTTGTGACACCATGACAGACAGCGTATGGTACTAAGTGGGACACCTGAAGCCTTCTCATTTCCTCTACCTTTAGTGGTCATGTTTCGCAGTCGTGCAATAGAACAGAATTAGTGGTTGGAAGCATCAAATCGGCAATCCACTCTTACTTTAGTCCTAGACATCGAACCTAGTGGCACTTTTCAACACTAAACAACCAAATTTAATTGATACTATTTTTTATTTTGTTTGTTAAAGGTTTATCACCTTGTAAACATTGACACTAGGTGGGCTGAATATAAAGACTTCGATGTGATTTGTTTTAAAAATGAAGACGTGCAAACATGGGGAATATTTATGTTCACAAAGAGAATTTTTAAAGGAATCTTTTTAACCATTTTGTTCAGTAGATGGATGTTAAAGATAAAAATGCTGCTAGAGAAAAGGATATAATGGTTTTTGAACTTTTCACAGTAACACTATGATAATAAAAGAAACAATTAAATGAATACTGTTTTACTTCATTGAAAGCTAATTGGATTTCTATAGGTGTTTTACTACTGGAAACATTCAAAGAAATATGTTTGACCGATTACTTTCCATTTTGTAAACAAGATTAACTAAACTTACTTCAGATAGTTCTGTATACTTGGTAGGAAAAAAGTAACTAGTTATTGCATAATTGAGCTTTCCAGTAGTCATTATTCTCTATTTGGTTGTTTTATTAGCTAAAGTTGATGAGCATGTTTCAAGAATGACATCCTAGTCGAGCGATTAATGGCGTAGCTGAATAGGTCAGGTAATAGGGACCTTTAGACACTATCTCCTTAGGCTCAAATCTCGTTTCATCCACTTTGATCTTGCGAGAAACTAGTTGCTTTTATAGGCTCTCCTTTTTGCTGACATATGTTATGAAGATCCTGACATTAGGAAAACTGAATAGCATTTCATCACTCTTGGTCACTTATTGTGTAGAATTTAGTCAAGTGTATTACGCAAGAGTCTCCGGCACATATATATATGTTTTTTTAAGATAGTATTCATCACGGGCTGACATCAGTTGGAGAACCATTGGAAACCTGGGAGCACTGGATAGCTCTTTCATCCTAGTATGGAATCCCTCAGCAGTACGCACCCACGACCCCTTAGAGGATCGAAGTCAAAACCTTCAGCTTTTAGGGTGGACGTAATAGCCACTCATCCACTGGGTCGAAGTTCAGTTCTCGAGATGGATATCTGGAAGTCCTAATGAGAAGCCGTGACCAGTAGGGTTAACCAGATGGAAATAAAGCGGATGTCAACTCATGACCTTGGATGGTAGCCGCGCTGACTCATTGACTGGATGCTTAACACGTTTGCCACCAGATCTGAAGGTTTTGAGTTCATTCCCTTGAGAAGTTATGGGTGCTACTTCTGAGGAACCCCATACTACGACAAAACAGCAGTTCACTGCTCCCAGGTTTTCAATGGTCATCCAACTGATGACTACTTTGAACCAAATAAAATCCCGATAAGCCTCAAAGTGCATGTGTATGTATTTTTCTTATTGACGCATTTGTAATATCATACTCCATTTTCATATGCCTAACTGACAGATGACATGAAGTAATTAGTGTGGATTAGAAATTTTCGAAAAAATCATCAAATTTTGACGGTAGAACAGCAGTCATCAAGGAGTAATGATTGAAAATCTCTAAATAGGCAAAACTGCTGGTAATGTCAGGTCCCAAATCGATGTTTTTTGTCTATCTACCTGTCTTGGTAGATAGTTAGAGAGATATAATAATGTAGGATCCCACTCAAAATCATATCACTTCAACTTATCAAACATGATAACAGCACAGAAAAAGAACAACAACAAAAGTGGAGACATGAAATTAAGTCACCAGATTTTGAAAAAGGTAACGAGGACTGAATACGTCTTCATGATTTCGGATGTTTTTTAGCCATATTTGCTAGGTTTTTCTAAACACTGATTCTATTTAGGATGAGTTATCAGTTGTTAAATATCTAAACTACCATTAGCCTTTCAAAGAATACACCCGGCTGATTACCTAGTCCATGAACAAACATTCATATGGTTATGGAAAGAGTGTAGCTTGACTTTTTAACACAGACTCCTAACAAATCTTCAGTTTCACAACTTAATGTTCCATAAACCTGAGATCAATAGTCGGTGTCTATATTGCTTATCGCAATATTAATATACTGGAGGAATGAATGCTTTACACATACCGGCTTTCCTTCATATTGCAAAACATTTGAAACGCATTCATCAACCTTGTTCACGTTCGTGCAGTATACAGTGAACCACACGTATTTTATGAGAGGGTGCCAAGACCTTGATAGGTGGAGCGGGTTCGAACCCGTGGTCAATCAATTGAAAATCCACTGGCCGAACCAATGAGTCACCGCCTCTTTCCCTTCGTATAACAATGATACAATAGAATTCTCTTGCTATTTTCAACCATGAATTTAGTCCACCAACCATTTTAAAGCTTAAATGTTTTTACGCATAAAACCACTATTATTTAACACCACTATAGTATTATTACTTTTCCCTTGGGCTCCTAGTGGAAAATAGGGCTTCAGTAGCACGTCTCCATTCCACTCTGTTCTCTGCAGTCTTTTGAACCTGGCTCCATGACTCCCCTCAAGCTCTCATTTCTTCCTCACATGATCTCCTCCATGTCACCCTCGGACGAGCAACTCGTCGTTTCCCTTTTGGATTCCACTCGAGTGCATGGCCTGGTGCGTGATGTCCCCAATCGACCTTCTCAGTGAATGCCCAGTCCATCTCCACTTCTTTCTGCATATTTGTTGAGTGATAGGTTCTTGGTTGGTTTTTTGCCAGCCAACCACAGTTCCCTATTGCTTATTCTTTCTGACCATCTGATCTTCAGTATGGAGTGAGCGTAGGTGGCAGCTGTTGATGAATGTCTGTAGTTTGTAGGAAGTGCTTTTCGTGATGCGCCAAGTTCCTGAACCATAAAGCAGCACTGACTTGACATTAGTGTTGAAAATCCGGATGTTGTTCAGGCTTTGTGCTGAGTGGAGTAGATCTCCACACTGGTTTCAGGCGAATGAACACCTGTTTTGCTGTTTCCGATCCTGGTTTTGATATCCTCGTCTGTGCCACCGCCTGTAGTTGAAACGATGCTGCCTAGGTAGGTGTAGGTGAAAGAGACCACTTCATTTAGGTTTCTCCCGTTTATGGTGATTGGTGCCTCTTCTTATTGATGTTGTTGTTGTTTGGGTATCTTCATCACCTCCGTCTTCTCTTCATTCACTTGAAGTCCCATCTTGGCTGCCTCTTCTGTCAACTTGTTAGTTTTCATCTGTAGATCTTCGAGTTTGTGTGACATTACACATAAATCATCATCGGCGAAATCCAAGTCTTCTAGGCTCTTTTCATCAGTCCAGCGTATATCAATCTTCTCGCTCCTCATTGTTTACTGCATGATCCAGTCCACCACAATCAGGAATATCATGGGTGATAGTAGACAGTTTATCTTACTCCTATTTAACACTACTAGCCTTCTAAACTGCTTACTTCTTGTTATCAACCCGGTCATGAATCGATTAGACTCAGTCTACACAGAAACTGATTCTATTCTTTAAGAATTAACTGAAATACTATTAAACATGATATTGACATTTTGAATTTCGTGTGACTCCAACTGAAACTCAGTCTCATAACTCAAATGAAGTTACAAAGTTATGGGTTAAAATTTTCTTTTCGCTACACTTACTATACATACTTGAATAATATCATGATATTTGTACTTTACACATTCAAGTTTACAACAGTACTGTATACTAATTTATTCATGATGATGTTGACATACTTTTAAGTATTCTACTTTCATTTCAACCTATTATAAACTTCATTCACAGCTTATCTATGGTGGTATTGAAGAGTTATGCTGGGAAATGCATCGTGGTGTAAACTGGAATATTGAATGCAATAATGCACATAATACATTAATTAAGAAAGGTAGAAAGAATTCAGGAGATTGGGATAAAGAGGAAGCTGAATTGATCACTGAAATCGATGATATTATAAATGGTGTCAACAACACTATAATCAATGAACAATCTGTAAAGAGTGTCACTGTGGAATCAAGTAAGTTATATTCTTTCAGTAGCAATAATTATACAGGTTAGTAATTTTATATTTCTTCATGATCATATTATCATCTTTGATCATAAAAAAACAAATAGTGTTGTATGGTACTCTTACTCTCTTGTTATTATATTGGCTCGAATTGCAGATGGACTCGTACGCGGATGCCTCAATAATGCCTAATTACTTATTATTAGATTATGATCTGCTTGCTGGTTAGTTGTGGGATACAGAAAGCGCGTTTCTTCCTATTTATGACTCGTTAGCTGGATCTACCTGCACCCCAGTAAGCGATGTTGTTCCCACCGAGACTCGAACTCAGTATCCATCGGTTCAAACACCAAAGTGTTATGTACTAGATTTCTCCGACTGATGTCAGTAGGTGAAATTAATCAACCAGCCCCCAAAGACTAAAAAAGAGTGAAGTCTGGGAATATAAGGTGGAAGCAGTATATGCAATTACTATTATTGTTATTATTATTACTTTCCCCTTGGTTTCCTAGTTGAAAATAGGGCTTCAGTAGCACGTCTGCATTCCATTCTGTTCTCTGCAATCTTTTGAACCTGGCACCACGACTACCCACTAGCTTTCATTTATTCCTCACATGATCTCCTCCATGTCACCCTCGGCACCAACGTCCAACTCGTCGTTTCCCCTTTGGACTCTACTCGAGTGCGTGACCTGGTGCATGATGTCCCCAATCGGTCCTCTCAGTGTATGCCCAATCCAATCCACCTCCACTTTCTTCTGCATATCTGTTGGGTGATAGGCTCTTGGTTGCTACTTTACCAGTCAGAGTTCCTTGTTGCTTATTCTTATTATTCTGACCATCTGATCTTCAGTATGGAGTGAGCGTAGGTGGCAGCTGTTGACGAATGTTTGTAGTTTATTGGAAATGCTTTTCGCGACGTACCAAGTTTCTGAACCATATAGAAGCACTGACTTTGTATTGAAAATCCGGATGTTGTTCAGGCTTTGTGCTGAGTGGAGTAGATCTCCACACTGGTTTCAGGCTAATGAACGCCTGTTACGCTGTGTTTCCGATCCTGGTTTTGATATCCTTGTCTGTGCCACCACCTGTAGTTGAAACAGTGCTGCTTAGATAGGTGAAAGAGACTACTTACTTCAAGTTTCTCTCATTGATGGTGATTGGAGCTTGTTGGTGGTGCTGGTGGTGGCGTTGGTTGGGTATCATCGTCACCTCCGTCTTCTTTACATTCACTCGAAATCCCATCTTCCCTCTCTGCCTGTTCTGTCAACTTGTAAGTTTTTGCCTGTAGATCTTCGAGTTTATGTGACATTAGACCCAATTCATTGACGAAATCCAAATCCTTTAGGATCTTTTCTCCGGTCCAGCGAATCAGCTAGTATATTTATTGTAACCTCGAGATTGTTGTAATGAGTTCAACTATGATTTAGGCTTTTCAGTTATAATCAGTCATTAAACTAAAATGGTAGTTATGGACAGTGTATCTCGATATTGACTTGAAGTTGGTATTCATCATGGAATAACATCGGCTGGATGAACATTGGAAACCTGAAAGGACTGGACACCTGTTTCGTCCTAGTATGGGATTCCTCAGCAGCGCACGCCCACGACCCCACCACGTACCGAACCCAGCGCGGTACCATTGAGCCATCGGGTCGGAATCCAATCGTCCGAATCGCCTACTTCTGTTAGTTCATGATATAGCGCCGCCTCCATCCTGATGTCACTGAGTAACTGTCGTCATATTCGAGTTGGTCCGCTCCACTGGTCACATCTTTTCATAAGAACTTAAGGAATCACCTCTCGAAGGTAGTCATCAATTGAGCGCTTGATTAATTCAGTCTGGGGGTTTATGGAGATTTATTAATTGATTTCAGGTTGGAATTCATGGTGGACTGACACCCGTTGGAGGAACACTGGAAACCTGGGATCACTGGATACCTGGTTCGCCTAGTCTGGGACTTCTCAGCAGTGCGAACCCGCGACCCTGCCAGGGATCGATATTGAAGATAATGCCTTTTACTGTTCTACTGTCTCGCATTCTAATTCCATTTCAGTTGACTTATTACATTTATCACGCAATGAAGGAACAGTATTGTCCACTGGATTACGTTTCACATATACTTTATTCTCCATAGTCATATCAAGATAACTACACAACGTTGAGACATCCTTTATATAGTCCTAATTTATTCCATCCCTTTGTAATATAGATAGTGAGATTTTCCACATATCTGGAACATGTTCTCAGTCATTCATGTTACATGTATTAGGTGTTGATTCGATGAACAAAGATTCAGTTATCAATCTCTCCACCTCAATCAAGTTAGTTTTAAGGATAATCACACTATCCCATCTGATTGTGTGTTGGTGTGTCATCACATGCATAACTATGGATCTACCAATTTTGATTTGATTAGGTTTTTGTGTTGAAACAGCCTAATTGAACGTGGTCGACTACTTTGACCTATGCATTCAACTCGAAGTTCTAACTAGGGATGTGGTAAGTCAAATTATTCTGCTTAGTTGGATCAGTAGGATCATTCTACCTACAAAGTTTATTTGTGAGTGAGATTGTAGATTTACATACCATTCTAATTCCAGCCTTATGTATCACAATACTGTAGAGGTTTTGAATTCTTTCTTCACAGTATTCCCACTACCATTATAAACATTATTATCACTACTGTTACCACCCGTGTTATTAATATTTGTCGTAGTTTTACTACGTTCCCTAAGGGATTTATTAATTCAGTTTAATTTGGGAGGGTAATTGTTGATGAGTAAGGTGTCCTCAATGTATCTGGTTTCTTGTCTTAGATCTTCTATTTTACAAGTAAGTTTTCTGGCCGTGTTAATTGAACATATTGGTGAGCTAAATTTAACTGGGATAATTTAAAGTGAAAGTAGTGACTGGAGTGTGAAGTTTTTTTCTGTGAACACAAGTGTCTAAACTGGCATTTTGTTTTCGTTTGAATCTGCAATTGGACATCGTTAATTGTGCTGCTTCACTATGTATTTTCCAATTCTCATGGGTGAATTTGATTGTGTTGGCTACTGAATTCATATGCGTAAAGAAATTATGTGTATGTTATGATTTCAACACTGTAAACATGTCGTCTATATATCGAAACCATACTTTTAAAGGAAGAATAAATGTTCTTACAGCCATCCGTTCCCAACTATCTTTAAATATGTCAGCCACAATAGGGGATATTGGTGATCCCATTACCACTCTGTATGTTTGTTCGTATAATTCATCCTAGCTGTAGGAACATTTATTCCTGCTCCAAAAATACGGTTTCGATATATATATATATATATATATATATATATATATATATATATATATATATATATATATATATATATATATATATATATATATATAAATGAGAGCACATAGGAAGTCGAGGCGGATATTTTATTCCTGTGACACAAATCTAAATAAGTTCTGAAGTGTATGTCTATTATGCAACTTGAGTTTAGTGAAGTTCATTGACTCAGGATGCAGTCATTATTGTACTTCAGTGAGAAGTCGTAAAATATGATGAACCAATCTACTCAGTGCTCCTTGATTCCCTATAGTTATTTGACTGATTCATTTTGTAGATAACCCACTTATATGACGTGCTTCACATTGTTATTTCATTACAAATCACTCAGTTTTTCAAGAATTTATTGTAATTGGTAGATTCCGAAAGAGATGTGCACATTAAAGACAAACTTGAAAAAAGTGCTTTAGTGATATACCAGACTGCAAGAGGATCGGTGTCATCAGAACTAATATGAGCTCTCGATAGTTCATTCTAATCGATGAGTTAGGTTAGTCTGTTGCGCGTGTATTTTGGTATCAGTTTAGCTGAAGGTATTCATCCTTGTTAAGCTGTTTCACCTTTCAACTCATCTCATTCTGAACATTTGATCCAAATGAGTAAGTAGTAGAAAGCGAAAAAGTTAATTCCAAGTTGGTATTCATCATTGGATGGCATCAATTGAAGAAACAGTGAAAACCTGGGAGCATTGGACAGCTGTTTCATCCCAGCACATCCAACAACTTCAACTTCTGCCTCCAGTACGTTACCACTGACTCACTTCTGTTAATTCATAATACAGCGCAACCTCCATACGATGCCATCACTGAGTAACTATCCTCTTGTCCGAGTTGGTTGGTCCAACTGGTTACGACTTCTCATTAGAACTGCTGGGAATCACCTCTTAAAGCAAGTTACCGATGACTACTGGAAAATTGAAAAAGTTAATATCAGTGTTCGTCTTGTTTTCTTCAAGTATTAGTATTTATATGCGTTTTTTTATATTTGATTTTATTATTCTACAGTTGTTCTCTTGTTTATTAAATTTTGTTATACAATCCTGTTTACTTTTTTTCTCCGTTCCCAGCTCGGCATACACTAATCAAATCATTGGAAACTATTGCATTAGGCCAAGAAAGATGAAGAATATATTTTATGTACAATCAGCTATTATTATTATTATTATACTGAGAGTAAGAGAGAGATAGAGTACTTAGCTATTCCTACTGTTGTTCTTTCTGTCGTCTATCTTCTTTACTTGATCCTCCAGCACATAACCTTCCTTCATTTTATACTGTACTGTTTAATTGGAAAGATAAATAAATCATTCACTGATAGCCATCAATTTTTTCAAACAACTAGTAGAAATAATTCAGTTTTTGTTCAGATTATATATATATATATATATATATATATATATATATATATATATATATATTCCCTTTGACAACAACTGGTGTATATTTTCGTTGCTTTACCACGTTGTTAGCGCCTGATCATACATGCAGAAACTGACTAAACAGAAGTTACGGAAACTAGGCTTTTGCAATACATTTATACGAGAATAGAATACAAAATTATAGGAATAGAATCGTTGCTGTTTGTATTCGATTATGAGTCACATCGGTGTTTTGGGTGTTGACAGTATATAGATGCTAGTCGATTGGAGGGAAGAAGTTCTACTTGACCTAGGTTTCGTGCTTGTTGACACTCGTCAGCAAGGCAATACTGAGGTAACTGCTATCCTTTGTGAGATTTGAACTCATGTCATCCAATGCTGCAGTAAGAGACATTACCACTGAGCTGTTCAGGCTGCGATTGACTTCCTGTAAGACTGGGTTAGACATACTGGTTAATCAGTTACTGGAGAGTAACCAACTTGCATCATTTGTGGCACTGACTAGCGAGATATCCGACTATCTATCAAAGAACGAGTATACTGTACCACTGTGGTCCGTTCTCTCCTGTTGTACGGCTGTGAGGCATGACATTTAAAAGTGGAAGACATGAAGCGGTTACAGATTTTCGATCACACATGTCTTCGTAAATTTGCTCGTGTTTGATGGAATCACCGTGTGAACAGTGTTGAAGTCAAGCGAAGAGTACTATGCAAGAAAAACAAGTTGATTGGTGTGGTTGTGAACCTGAGTCGACTGAGATGGCTTGGAGGTGTACTACATATACCGAGCCACCACCTGCCTCTACGTGTAATGCTAGAAGAAGCTGAATAACCTTGGAAGAGGGTTCAGAGTGGCCAGATGAAGACCTACCACTAGTTGATGAAGTCTCTAACTGTTGGTTTCAATCGTATGAGGAGATTTAGACTGCTTGGTCGGGGTGTCCAAGTTGATGATGCGAATCAATGGTTGAGGACTCTTGGTGACATGGCTGATAATCGGTTACAATGGTGCAGATGTATTAACCCCTTGACATCTAATCCTTGAATATTTGCACTAACTGTTATCTTCAGATTGTTTATTCTCTCACACAACTTTATCTTTTTTGACATCATTCTTTGTCTGTCCACCTGTTGTTCGTGTACTACTGTGAAATGTGGCAGCTTGAGCCAACGCACTCGTGTAGTTCGATTTTATCAGTCAGCGAGTAAACCAATGGATAATGCTGTTTGATTGTTTTACTTCGAGTTGTAGTGAAAGTGGGGTTCGGGCGTATAAATTGTTTAACCTAAGAAGGTATAGCTCCACTGACCTCTGTGTGATGTGCAGTGCTTAAATAGTCAATGGGAATCATTTTATCTAATGCACGATAAAAATTTTGTAAGCAGCTGATGAGAAACGATGTTATTCTGCTTCAATCTTTGTTCTTTCCCTATTCAATTTCATAAAGAGGAATATGTGTACGAAAAATGTTTGTATTGTGAATTCAACAGTAGATACTTCTTACAAGATGTAAGTATCATGCTGAAGTACCGTTTTTACTTATCGTTATATGGTCGAAAGTTGCTTAGTGTCACTGATACATTTAGGTTGCTCACAACGTAACAAGTAACTATGCTAATCGACTTCTCACTAACTTTTTAATTAAATGGTTCACTTTGCGACTGCCACAATTTATGTTCCAGTGGTAATTGATACCTGGTAGAAATTGATATACTACAAGTACTACTTATTTGGAATCAAAATTCTTAAATTTCTCTAAGTAGACATTCCTTCTTCCCTAGTTTGACTTCATTACAGAAACTATCAGTTGACAATGGTCACACGAGAATATGAAAGAGCTGTACTTATGGCTATGTATACTTCTGCATATTCCTACTGAAATTAACTGTAAATGCATTAGGCTGGCTTTTGTACTTATCTGAACAACTAAAAGATATTTTATTCGAAATCATATATACAAAAACATTAGACTTATCGTAACACTGTACTTGGAATGTATTCTAAGTGATTACCTTCTTACGAAAATAAAGTTTCAACTCAACTTCACTTTCAATGAAAAAAATACTTGAAATAAGTAGCCGAACTCACTTACCTAGCTGACAATCTTAGCTACTGTTAATGTTCAACTCATAGTTCACTGAATTCATATATGCATAACTCAGTAACCATAAACATTTTCATGCATATCTTGTGTCACAGTTAATGATACTATCTAACTGCCCATATCTCAGTAGATGGAAAGAGATTCGAGCCAACGACTCAGTATTTGAAATTCATCTATCTGGACCAATGCACCATAACTCGGGAAATCTATTCATCACTATTTTTAAATTGCATACTTGCATCGAAATTACTGTACGGTTTATCTTTCAGTATCTCTGTTGATTTTTGGATATATTTCTGTTACAGACATCAAACTAAAACGTCTGCAAGGCTGCATATGCGTTGAAGCTGCTGCATTTTGTAATAATGAAGTGGAAGGAAATTAAAACGTAGGAGAACAAATAAAAGTAAACAATACTACTTTGGAGAGTATAAAACTTTCGGGGTAGATAATATTATCTCAGCATGCCTAACACATACTGTAGACCTCGCTTAGTGAAGATCCACAACTTTATCAACTGGCTTGTTTTCTTCGTCTGACGTCCCCTATGAATAATCAGGAAATTGATGCAGACTACTTCTGAAATTGTAATATGCATTTGGAAGGTGAGAAACACTTCCTCAATGTCATTGTTTAAATTTTTCCCGAATCTTCATTTTATACGGTTATTTCATCTGGGTTATTCGAATCAATAAGGGATTTACTGATAAAAATGATCAATCTATATGATGTTCGAAGTTCTTTATGAGTAGTTTCATGATTCAGTTGAAAATAGGTGGAAAGATCCATTATGTTGTAATTTATTAGCTTGTGGCTAGCAGTGGAATCTGTGACACACCTTTCATCCTATTTGGGATTCTTCAGCTGGATTGATGGTGTTCCCACTCAGACCCTAATTCCTTACCCATCGCTTCAAATACTAGAGTGTTATCCACTAAACAACTGAGACAAGAGAACTACTTCTTGTCCAATACCTATCAATTGTTATTTATTAATACTTGTAATTTCCCACTGCTACACTGAATCGGATTGGTCAACCTATGAGCTCGTATATGAACGCAGTACTGAGAATTGTTTGAGTTAGTAATCTAACTTCTCAGGGACTCTTTGCATCAGATGATATTTTCTCCCTCAGTTGATAGTCAAATGGTTACAGACAGATAAGTAGTTTCAGATCAGTCAATCAATATCAACATAGGACCAGGTATTACTACGTAACGGTCTGAGTTGCCACAGCTCAGTACAGTACAACAAGTAGAAAGGTAGTGAGGTGAAGAATGAAGACAAGAGAATGCTGTCAAAATATATAAAGTACGAGAAGAAAGAAAGAAGGAATGACAAAATGGTGAGATTCGACATAGCTTTGTTAAGATGAGGATAATGCGTGTATACATCTGCGCCACTGACATCGGTTCTCAGCCATATCACCTGGAGTCTCCAACCACTGGTTCCTGCTGTCTTGCGGACCCCAACCACCTAGTCTGCATCACCCCACATGGCTGAAACTAACAGTCAGAGATTTCATACATTGGTGCTATGTTTTAGTCTGGCCACCTCGGGCCTTTTCCCAGCCTGGGCCTACTTCAGATCACTTGTTAAGTGATTCATTAGAATGAGAAAATCACCAACTATAATTGACGTGATACGGTTCGATAAAACGATGAAATTTGCTCTTCTGAAGTGAACATTACCAAAACTGATAAAAATTAGAATGTATGTATTAACTCAATCAATCAGAGTGATTGAAACAGTGGAGAATCGTTTCATCCATTTAAACTTGGGATTAAAATTATACAATTTGAAATTGTTTTCTATGAATATTCGTTTATTCCCCTTTTTTTCAAACGAATAAATCGTTTTATCACCATTTGTTACCTCCTGTTTTATAAACTCTACTTATCATCCAACTACCTATCAAATGTATGATTTTTAATCTTAAAATAATTATGTGAATAAACGCTATTGATATATTGTTGTTTAAATAGACCGAATTATGAAATCTTGTCTTATTTGAAATATTCTTAGCTTGTACTTAAGATATATTGACATTAGGATTCAAGTTATGCATAGTGGTGGTACATTAAGATTAGCTTATTCTGTTTCTTATTCTGAACACTTATTTATTGATATACTTGTTATTCTGCGTTGGTGTACTGCAGCGAACTGCTCTACCTCTGTTGGCATATGACCTCTTATGCGGATGCTTTGGTATTATCTGAACATTTTTTATGATAATTCACTTGTCTATGGCTAGCAGAGGAATCCAGGACGTGCGTTTCGTCCTATTGGGGGCTCGTCAGCTGGATGCACCTCCACCCCAGTGAGTAATTGTGTTGCCATTGAGACTCGTGCCTATCTCTTCAAACGCCAAAGTGTTATCCCCTAGGCCATCGAGGCACGATAGCCACCTTTTGTATAACGGGTATTAGTTATTACTAAGTGTTGATATACCTGTCATTCTCTGTTGCTATACTGATGCATCTAGCTGACAAGTCCCAAACAGGATGAAACGCGCGTCCTGGATTCTTCCGCTAGCCATATCCAAGTAACTCGATACACTGGATTGGTATAGCGTAACAGGAATTCACGCTATATTATGAATTGAAAGAAGTAAGAGATAGTGAACCATAAGATAAAAT